AACAGAGATTCGGATGGCTAGAATGGCAAGAAAAGCGGGCAACTTCTATGTACCTGCAGAACCCAAATTGGCATTTGTTATCAGGATCAGAGGGTAAGTTCAGTTTTTACTGTATCTGGTTTAAAGGGAATTTTAGAAGCCTCGGTAAAATTTCCTGTTAATTCAGGAAGGACTTATCTAAAATATGGGAATAACAATGCTCAGGTGTGACTAGAAAAAAGCATGGGTGTCATTTTAAGGGGTTAGTTACAAGCCCTGCCCTAAAGCTCCTGTCTACTTTAATTAAATCAGGAGGAGTTCAGGATCCTGTCAGTTGATTTCAAAAGAAGTTAAAGTGTACAATCAGTATGGTGCTATAACAAAGATAGGTGATAACACAAGTCAGGACCTTTTATTGGTACTTATCAAAAAATAGTTGGAGAGGAAGCAGGTTGATGGGAATTATAGGGTAAAGAGGAAAAACATCAGTGATATTTGGTTTTTGTGGGACATGTGTGATCAGTTTGTTTAGTTTCCTGTCAGTTGATAGTAAAAACTGATTTAAAAAAATTTTTTTTGGTCCCTTTTCACTGCAGTATCAATGGTGTGAGCCCAAAGGTTCGGAAGGTGTTACAACTTCTTCGCCTTCGCCAGATCTTCAATGGCACCTTCGTTAAGCTCAACAAGGCTTCAATTAACATGCTGAGGATCGTGGAACCTTACATTGCATGGGGGTAAGTGCCCTTTTTTCTTGGATTTCTGCTTGGCAAATAGGCTGGTATAGCGAGGTGAATTTTAGATGTTTTGATAGCAGTGACCTTTTTCTTTGATCATGTATGTCTGCTTTTCGTATTTCAGGTACCCAAACCTGAAATCAGTGAATGAACTAATCTACAAGCGTGGATACGGCAAAATCAATAAGAAACGAATTGCCTTGACAGATAACGCTTTGATTGCTCGATCTCTTGGTAGGTTCTTTTTGTTTGGGGGAAGTTTGATATTAGATGGTGAAATTTTATGGCCTCTCATGTCCTTAATTTTCTCACTAATGAACCTTCACATTATTTCCTATAATCCTTCATTAAAGAAAACATGAGATAATTTCATTGCACAGATGCTTTGGCACTGAGCTACATCCCAGCCCTTTAGTTTTTATCTTGAGACGGTGCCCTCAAACTTCTGTCTTCTGTCTCTGCCTGTGCCAGTAATCCCAGTGATTCAGACATAAGCATGCAAATATGGCGCCCTTCTGTTTACTTCTTTTTTTTTTTTCTTTTTTAGGTATACGGTATACATGATTCTGTTTACTTTTGATTTGCATTTAGCTCAGCTTGTAAATGTGCTTTTTTGTATGCCTTAAGATTTAAGCAATCACAAATGAATTTTTTTTCCAGGTAAATATGGCATCATCTGCATGGAAGATCTGATTCATGAGATCTACACTGTTGGAAAACGCTTCAAAGAAGCAAATAACTTCCTGTGGCCTTTCAAATTGTCTTCTCCGAGAGGTGGAATGAAGAAAAAGACCACCCATTTTGTAGAAGGTGGAGATGCTGGCAACAGGGAAGACCAGATCAACAGGCTTATTAGAAGGATGAACTAAGGTGAGAAACTGCATCCTGGGAGAAAGTAGTAGTCTTAATAATTGAATGTGGTGATTTTGAATATAATCAGTACTCTTCAGTGGGGGAGGGGTGATAAATGATTAGTTGGTTTAGTTACTCCTCTACTTCCTTTTGAAGACATTTCTGAAGGGAAGGAACCCCCCCTCCTTTTTATCAATTTAAAAATGGAAATTGGGTGTCCTTTAAAATACCCCTAATTTAATGTTAATCTTTAGCTGCTAAGAGTCTTTAATAGGTTTATTTTCTTTCCCTTTCAGGTATCTACCATGGTATTTTTGTAATCTGGTCAGTTAATAAAACAGTACCTGCTCTCAATGTATTGGTGATTTGTTAGTCTGCCTCTGCCTTCCTTCAGCTATGATGGTGAATCTTTTTTTTTATGATGGTGAATCTTGGTGTGTATACGAATTCAGTCATATCAACAGAAAACCTGGGTCAAGTTTTTATGTTGTGAAAAAACATTTTATCATACACATTTAATTGCTGAAGTCCCATGTCTCAGACACTGGCTTATCTGAAAACTACCGTGTGAATGTGTTATTTTTCCATTTTTTCATTCTTATTTTGCATCTTTGCCCAAATTTAGATGAGATATTAGTAATTCCATTATTACATTGTGGATATTAAATAGAAGTGAAATTAAAACACTTGGCAGTTGAAATGAGTGAGCAAAACTTTGTTATCCTCTACATGTAAAGACTTTTTATTTCAAAGTATACAACGAAAGCAAAGTTTTTGTAGTCACTGGATTTTTTTTAATTTTAGGTGGACACAATATCTATTTTTATGTGGTGCTGAGGATCAAACCCAGTGCCTCACATATGCTAGGTGAGCACTCTACCACTAAGTCATAATCCCAGCCCCCATGTAGTCATTGATTTTATTGCTGAGACCTTATTGCAGCAATGTGAAATTTATCCCTTGTTGATTTTTTTGGCACTATTAAACCAGAATCATTCACTGATTTTCAATAATTGAAGTTTCTAGACAAATACATTAGGAATTTCTTTAAATTATTTATAATCCAGAAGCTATTTCTCTGCCTTAGTTTCTTAAGAGTTCATGAATTCTGGAGGAAAAAAACAGTATTTCATAAAATCATCTTACATGTTTGTGAGAATATCTGTTGTGTCAGAGATTTGTTATAGTAGGATCAGTGTAAAAAAAAATACATATAGTATGTTAATCTCTAGGTGGAGCCAAAGAGTTTTAAGTTTTGAAGCTTATCCTCTTTTTGCTGTTAAATGAGTACCAAACCCCTGTCTTCACACATTCACTGTCCTGAAATGGAGGAGTATTTCAGAAGATGTTAGACCTTGGTTGACTTCCAGGTTTTTAGACAATGGTGAGGGCCATCAGTGGCCTTTGCAAAATCAGAGTAAAGTTGTATAGATGGCGTTATTGCTAACTGCTTAGGTGTAGGTGGGTGGCTACACTACAATGTTAGAGGAAATTTTTATTGGGATAAGAATAACAGGTGCTTAGATACAGGGTAGAGGTATTTAGCAGAATTTTTTAAGAGCAGTTTTAGGTTTACAGCAAAAATGAGCAGAAAGTATAAAGGGTTACCACACATCTCTGTCTCCATATATAGCATCTTCTGTCTCAACTCCCTACCACCACCCCAGTGCTATATTTGTTAGTCACTGGATTTATATTGATATATCATCTTGTAAATAGAACCAGAGTGGAGAAACAAGGGAGGGATTGTAGAGATCCAGGATTGTCCACTCTGAAGCTCATGCAGGGTGATTAGGAAATCAAAAGATAGTTGTACAGAGTATGAAGGTAAGTAGGAAAAATTTACAACATTGCTGTCTGCTGGTGACAGCAGTTTCCTAGGGCATAAAGTGAAATGATAATCTGACATAGAACTGAGGATAGAAATGAGTGGGTATGAAAATATTTTGTGAACTGTGGAGATGATAGTTGGCACCTTATTGAATCCTACCTCTTTAAATTTGCAAAGGGATGTCCCACTTCCCCATTCATGTGAATCTTGACACCTAGTAGGATCAAAAAGTCACCTAATCTCTTGATTTCCATTTTACTTAGTATTTATTTGTAGGTTCGTTTTTTGGTTGTCTAGATTAAGAATGCAAGTTTGGCACCAGGCTGCTTGTGTTCACATCTAGTCTCAGTCTGGGCCAATAAATCCTGTTTAGTTTCTTAATTAGCAAAATAGGGGAAATGATGGCATCAGTTTTAATAGGATTTCAGTGAAAATTTAATGTAAATGTTTCGTGAAATGTTTGGTATTGGTAGTAAATTTGAGCACTTCAAATGTACAACTGGGAGCAATATAAAATAGCCTCTACTTTGTCACTCTGATGGATGAAATGGACAACAAATGATAAGCTGAGTGCTACAGGGATGTACAGAGCCTCCTGATATCTTTTGGCACCCAGCTCCACAGGAAGATGGACAACTTTCTGTTCCTTTCTTTTGGGGGGTTTAAATATATATTGTCCACTTTTTGGTACTGAGGATTGAATCCAAGGTGCTTAACTACTGAGCCATATCCCCCCGTCCTTTTTATTTTGAGACAGAATCTTGGCAAGTTGCTGAGGGCCTCACTGAAATGGTGAGGCTGGCTTTAAACTTGGGATCTTTCTGCCTCAGCCTCCCAAGTTGCCAGGATTCTAGGCACACACCACCCCCACTCCCCCCACTATTGACAGATTTGATGTCAAAGCAGTCTGTTCTTGTTTTTTGTTACTGGAAATTGAACCAAGATGCTCCTAACCACTGAACTGGTGTTTGAGAGAGGACCTTGCTGAGTTGCTGGGATTACAGGTGTGCATCTCTACTTCCAGCTATAGCATTTCTATCTGGCATTCATTTTCCCCAGCCACTCCCCAGTGTAAGACTTAATATTTAAAATGCCTGGTACATTGTAGGCACTTAGCTCTAACCTCTTAAGCCATTTACAATTTTGAGTCTCCAGTTGGCAGTCATTGGGTATTTGGTGATGGGGAATGGTAGGAGGAGGAGTGGGGAAGACTTCATTAGTAATAGAACATGTTAAGAGAATACTATTCATGCTATCTATGTAGCTAGAAGCTTTCACAAAGGAGGTAGAATTCAGACCCCTAATGACAGAACAGAAATGGCAGAAGTTTCAAGTAGGAATGTAATAACCAAGAGGATATGAGGTTGAGCCTGGTGGCACACATCTGTAATCCAGTGGCTCTGGAGGCTGAGGCAGGAGGATCACGATTTCAAAACCAGTCTCAGCAATTTAGTAAAGCACTAAGCAACTTAGTGACATCCTGTCTCTAAATAAAATA